CTATTTTATTTTTAATTTACGTCAATGATATGACTAACTATAATGTGAATAATCACTTAATCCTATTCGCTGATGACACTACCTTGATGAATAGCAATGCCTCTTTAGCCTCATTGATATCCGACTCTGAGGCTCATAAAAGAAAACTAGCAAACTGGTTAACCGCTAATAAGTTGACCATCAATGAAACCAAGTCTCAGATGATTATTCTTAGCTTGAGGCAGCACGACACTAATACACTAAACTCCGTGAAGTTACTAGGAGTCTACATTGATGAACACTTGTCGTGGGAAACTCACGTGATCCATGTTCTCGATGCACTAGCAAAATATTACGTATATATTTGATAAGGAACTTGAAACAAAATGTCTCTCAGTCAGTTCTTCTTCTAACATATTATTCCTAGTTTCAATCAAGAATTTCATACGCATTGGTAAACTGGGGTCACTCGGTCCATTCGTCAAAAGTTTTTGGATTACAACATTGCTGGCCTCATATACACGGAACCTTGCAAGGAAGCTTTTATAGATTTGAAAATAATGACAGTACCTTCTCTTTACATCTTCACATGTCTGATGTATACAGGGTGACTTCGAAGTTATTTTAACAGTGAGTAGATCTGATCAAAAGAAATGTTTTTTTCCTTTACCATTTTTCTGGTAAAATTAAAGTAACAAAGTTATAGCCCTTTGGAAGTTTGAGTACCGCCCTGTCTCAATCATAATATTATGTGCTCGTGTTTGGCAACAACGGATATACTCTGGCTTATCGGTTCATCGCATCGGAAACAAAAAAGCGAAAGAATTTGGAACGATGTTTTTACAATTATTTTATTCCGTTGTATACGGTCAGTGTCAGTCGGTAACGCGTGAGTGAATAGTGGTGTCTGTTGCGTGGCTCAAACGAAATCAAAAATGGCACATGTTTATGCGGATCGGTTTCCCAATCGAGTGCAACCAACCCCTCGTGCCTTTGTTAATGTAGTACAACGGGCTCGTGAATCAGGTGACTTAAGACCTCACAGGCGACGGCATGCCGGTGCTCCAAGACCTCACGATCAAATACAGGTCCGCACTGAAATACTTGTCGGGAGGATACTTTATAAAACAAGGTAAATTTTTTTTTATTTTTTTTTTATTTTTACACACATATTTTGGTTTATCTTCCTTCTACAATCATTATCTGAAAATTAATGACTCAACTTCAAAGTCATCCTGTATAAAGACTAACCTGAGCCAATATACTACCCACAGTGATGTCCACAGTTATAGAACCAGAAATATGGATAAAATCTTAGTACCTCATAGCCGTCTCCAAACCATCAGGAACGGCACAGACTATTATGGGATAGTTTTTTGTAACCTGTTGCCAGACCGTATAAAGAAACTGGATGCGAAAGTTTTTAAAAATAAAATTAATGCTTATCTGACTACTAAAGCATTTTACTCGATCAACGAGTATTTGAGCAATAATTTTTCAGACTTGTCGGATTGTTAGCAAATATAACAGTGTTCCTACACCTGGGATCATCTAGGCTCCTTGAACTTTCTACTAAGTCATCTGGTAAATTTTTATATCAACATTTCATATGTCTTACCATTTTAACGTATATATGTGTATATATGTATATATATATGTGTGTGTGTAGAAGTAAACATACCGTCCCTTTAGAATAGAACTAGCCTAAGTCCAAAAAGCAAAGTTTTCAGGAAACGGTTTTTTTTTAATAGATTCTTTATTTATACAGATATTTTAATGAAAATTTGTACACATGTTCTAAAAATGTCTGTTTTTAATATACCTTAGTAAAAACGAAAAACATTAACGTTAAAGCAAAAAGTTGGACATAGATTACTTTTAATGTTAGCAAGTATACCAAGTCCACTTCTTGGACTTAGGCTTATTGTATGTTTATGGACATAATATAGTCACTGGTTAATTTTATGACTTTTTATTCAAAACCTGCTACGATAATAACGTAAAATATTATCTATTACTGCTTCAAAATTTTTGTGAAAACTGATTTATTGACTTTTTTCTATAAAAACACAAATGTTCATCTAATAAAATTTATTAGAATAATTTTTATTAATACACAGTTAGTAAGTAATAGAAATAAAATACTTAAAACTTAAGTAGCTGAGCCCAAATTCCTTAACAAATGGAACTGAGCTTGAGTTTCTAAAAAATAAAAAATATTAATTTTTTAAATAATTAAAATAACATGTTTTAAAACAAATGAAAAATATTTCTTAAGTAACTGACCCTAAATTTCTACACAAATAAAAAACATCTTAGACTATTCATCACTATCGGAATCTTGAAAGTTCGTTTTGTTGGAAAATGGTAAATTTTTAAAGTAACTATGGTAAGGCGCTAAAATTGCTCCTTTACGGCAAAGAAACTGAAGATGATCATACTTCAGTTTTTTCAAAGAAATTTCCTTTTCGTAGCATGGTTTTAGTTTTAGTGAGGCTATCTCGACATCTATTTTTTTTCTTCCTTTTTCTGTGAGCTTTAATTTCTTGTAGGTAGAGTCGTAATTAACTTTAAAAAGTAAAGTGTTAGGGAAACGTGGATCAGCTTCAACTATTTTTATTTTATTTAAAAACACTCTTTCGTTTTCTTCATCTCTTTCCCAGTTAATACACGTCTTTCTTTCAAGATCTTTTAAATCATATATATTTTCCTGTGCAAGCTCAACTACTTTGTAAGGATCCTTTCTTTTAGCTGTCCTTACAACCGTATACCACTGATCTGGTGTGTATATAGGTATATTTCGAGCAGCTCTTTCTATTACGCTATGTACGCAATCGCCTTCACTTTGAGTGTGGCCTTTTTCTAAGTAGGTATGTTTTATTTTTATTTGATATTTTTGCGATAAATAGCTGTACAAAGAGTACAAAAATCTGTTGCGGTTTTGACCGCTACAGTTGTCAGAAAAGAAGCTAAATTCTCTTATTCCTTGTTCTACTTGGCTGATAATGTACAAAAGTAAACAACTTCCAATCTCAGAGGCACCTCTGTTTCCGACTACCTCATTCCACATGTAACAATTGCACTCTTTTGTTGCTAGGTTGTACACAGTAAAGTTGTAAGTTGATAATTTTAATTTGTAATAGGACAGGCCAACATTAGATTTGGGAACTGGCAACACTTGTTGCAAGTCAAAGACAGCGCAACAAACCTCACTGCTATTCTCAGCTGCTCTTTGTTTCTCAAACTGTTTGATTTCTCTTGCCCTATTTTTATTTAGGATATGGATGCGATAATCTTCTTCCAACTCTAATTTTTCTTCAAGAGAACTATTATCGTAGTTGTGGCAAATATCGCAGAGATCCTTTTTGGGCTGAAAGAAGGATAGATTAAAATCTCTATTGAAGATTGTTCTATACATTGCTTCAGTTACTGTTTTCCTAATATTCTTTTCCTGACAATACTCCAGGTACATGGTATACATCTTGCTTACGTTAAGTGTTGGGGGTAAATATTTACGACTGGTCTTTTGTCTGCAGTAATGACTTTCAATTGTTTCAAATAAGTTTATGTGATCCCTAACATTTTGTTTAGTAGACTCGTCAATAAGAGTGTTTTTGCAAGCTTTTCCTCGTCTATCTTCGGAAACAATACCTGAAGTTCCAGTTTTGTTCATAACGGTTTTGACTACCTGTGCACTGATTGACAGTGTATTTAGAAAAAAAGTTTTACATATTTGCACCTTATTGTTTTCATTTTTGGGAAGAGAGTATGTAAAAGTACTGTTTCTTCTACTGTTTTTATCATTAGACAGTTCTAAGAATGTATTGTCATTCTTTTCTGGTAATTCAGCGGGATGATGCTTATTCTTTTTACGAATTCTAGTTCTAGCTTTAGAAACTACTGTAACATATTTGGATATAAAATCACGTTGGCGGTTGACATCTCCTAATCCCCAATATTCAGTAAATATTTTATGTCTTTCTTCTTCACTCATTTTATTTAGACACTTCATTCTACATTTCTCTTCACATGATGTTTTCATTTTTCTTGCTAATTGTTTTTTTCCTTTCCAGTTGGTGTATTTCTTTCCTTGATTTCTCGATGACTTAATTATGTTTCTTTTCCAAGTATGTTCTCTTCTTAGCTTTTTTTTAGATATTTTTCTAGCATTTTTATTCTTTTCATCTGTGTTAGAACTTGTATCAGTTTCTTGATAATTGTTTTCAAAATTAAAGTTTTTTCTCTTCTTTTTGCTTTCTTGTGGATTAAAATTAGGGTCGTTTTCTTCATCATCAGTTTGGAAAGGATCCGTGTCCGATGATAAATACAGATCCTCTTCGACAATATTTTTCCGTTTGCCACATTTTTCAGGGTCCAATTGGTCAGTTTCTATTACATCTAGAACAAAAAGTCTCAGTAAGAAATTTATAACAAAATACCTACTTTTAAAATTGACAACGAAAATAAAAACCAAATCATTTATGAGACCAAAATTACTTACACAAACATTAAAAATAAATAAATGATTATTTTTTTAAACAGACCGGAGGTACTCACTTTCTAGACCCCAAGGATAACTAAATATTGTTGTTGAAAAGCCTCAAAAGCCTATTGTTTTTTTAGCCTTAAAACTGTTATCAACAAAACCGGAGATTTAGATATTATTTTTGAGGATACAAGTATACACACCTTATAAAACACTCTTATTATTCTATCTTCTATTAAAAAATGGGCCACATACATTTATTTGACTGAAACTCAGTATGCTTAGCCAATAATCCTATCCTAAGCAAGATGTATACCATGTACCTTGAGTATAATTGCTTGTTTACTGGTAAAGTGTTTGATTTTTAATATTACTAATTCTTTTTACTCGTTAGTTTGCTTACCTATGATTTTTTCGAGAACACTTCTTACTTCTTCACTAGCATTTGCGTCTCCTTTATCGGCCACAATCGGTGTAACTTTATTGGATTCAATACTCAAAACTGATTTTATATTTTCGAGGTTCATACTGCAAAATGCATTATCGCTCTTGTTAAAAGCAGCCGTTTCCTTAGAGAGTAAATAACCAGGCGGCATAAGATTTGCTGTATTCATCAAATATTGGGCGTCTATTTTTTCTGGTCTTGCAGATACTGTTAGTTTGTCATGATTGGTATCTATAAAAAAATAAAGTAAACATTATTCAGTACAGAGTTTTATGAGTGTAGATCGTATTATTTGTTTTTTTTATTTATACAATTAAAAAAATAAATAGAATTTATCCTGAACCAGTAGCTAAAAACGTATTTCCAATGTTAACGTGTTACTTAAGAATATTTGTATAGCTAGAAAAGCACTACTTACCATCACAGTGCCTGGCCAGAAGATCAAAAATTTTTTTCCTTCTAGAACTCATATTTAATTTGTTTACGTTGCGCAAACTCGATCACTATACACTAAGAACTGCTTTAAACTGAGGTAATCTGCGTTATTCGTGTACGGTGGCGCCTTGAAATGCCTAGATTTCTAACAAGTCGAAACCAGTACAGTGCAGAACTAGTTTATGTCCACTAAAAGATGTGAGGGTTTATTAAAATTATAGAACAGAATAAGCCTAAGTCCACATTTTCTTGGACATAAAATTTTGTTTCAAAGTAGAACTAGCTTAAGTCCACACAATTCACTAGTATAGGTAATCTGTCCCAACAAAGGATACTTCTGCATTAAAAATTATTTACCCAAATATGGACATAGAATTTCTGTTCTAAAAAAGGATAGTTCTGCACTAACAATTATTTTGCTTCAGGACATAGGCTTATTCTTAATTTAATGAGTACGTGAAAAATATAAACGTTAGGACTTAGATTAGTACTGCACTTGATAGGCGACACCTTACTGCATCATATAGTCTAAAATCTCAATTTTGACAAAAATGGACATAGGCTAGTTCTGATCTAAAGGGACGATACGTATTGTGGTTAAATGAATATGCGTGTATCTATGTACGAATATGTGTCCTCCTGTTTTTATAACTTATATGGTATCTGCTTTTATTGAATCATAATGTCATAAGTTGATGTTTTTCTGTCTAATTTGGACATCAGTCTTTTGTCAGACTGCTTTTTATATTAATTTTTTTTTCTTTTGACTTGAGTAAACACGCTGGTGTACTTAACAGAAATAAAGAATTGAATTGAAAAAAAAATTGAATTGAATTGGTCTCTCGCCTCTGGCTCAACGAACGAAAGCGTCGCAGCCATCCTCTATCCAAGAGAAGCACGACACAGCTGTCCATGGTTGGCTGTATTTTGGTGGGACAGACGGAAGCGTCATGTTTGGTTTGTCCAGTGGCAAGTATCTACTATACGGTCAGAATCGTCAGCCATCTAGCGGTCGCATGGTGACTGAGCTATTAAGCACGAACTGAGAAATCCTTACAATTCCAACAAATAGCTGCTATGCTCGATTTTGGTGATTTATGCCGCTAGGAGCTGTCTCATTTCGAGCGTTTAATTTATTGATGCAGCCGCGAAGGTATCAACACAGAGACTGCTATGAGGAACCAAAAGGCGGATTCATGAGTTGTTTAAAGTTAGAGAAACTGGGAACAAACATCTAAGGTACCAGTCACTTCGATAGAGTAGGAATGAGGGACATACATCTGGTAGATCTCTCTGGCAAAACAACACGTGACGTCATCACTGAGAAAAGCATGATCACCGCCCGCTCTTTGGAACAAAATGTTCCGCGGCTGTCCCTTACGGAAGTGCCATCTATCAGTCGAACAGCCCTCCTCTGAATAACATCAAGCATGGCTAATGCAGTCGGGGCATCAGCATAAAGTTATGTTCTAAACCTACGGTCTAAAGGTTCTAATTGATTAGTTAACCTTTTGAGGCCAGGTTTATGCTTTATTATAAAACCGTTTATTTTATGTCATAGATATATTGACGTAGTTCCAGTGCATACGAAAAAACCATAATGGCAATTCCGGCCTGACGATGCCAGCCTAATGCAGTGATTTTTACCAGTAACTTGATTTCCTAACGATTTGCCAAATCACACTGATAAGACAATATTCAACAGATAACGTTGGGGACTGCCCTTTAGATACCGTACGACGCCCACCTATATAATAGTCATTGTAACAGACTGTATACGTATGGTTGTAGTCCTAGACAACTCATCATTCCATTGAACTAGCGACTACTTGTTACATAACTATATCAGGAAAAAATGACGAAAATTTAATTTTTATCTTAGAACTATCTTTATATTATGTTAAGTTAAAAATAAATCATGATAATGTTTCAAATAGATGAATTTTTTTTTATTTATTATATGCTGTGATCGTGATATACCAGATATTAATACAATTAAGATTTTATATTGCTCACTTGTTCGTTCAAAGCTTGAATATGCATCAACAACTACGAGCCCCTTCCCACTTCAGCTGGCCCAACTATTGAAATCTTAGTTTTTTTCTTATCAAACACAAATAATAAAAATGCAGCAGGGTGTTATATGTTTAAAATATTAACAATGAATATTTTGATAATATATAGTAGAAAACACCAACTTTATCACTCCCTAATCAAATTTGCAGCATAAAAATAACACATGTTGCAATTCCAGCATATCAACTTATTTTCATTTCAATGCAAAACGCATAGGTGGCTGTGAAAAATAAAAGCCGTGACAATTGTTTTTATTAATCACAGCTGTCAGAATACGTTTAAAATAGTTTTGGGTAGTTAAGGTTTTCAGAATGGCTAGAGGAAAGGTTATTAGTGAGAAAATTCGGTTACCGATAATTAAACTTTTTAATTCTGGGAAATCAAACTCAGAAATTACTACTTTGTTAGACTGGTCGCGGTACAGTGTGAGAAATATTGTTAGAAGATATAACGTAACTGGTTCAGCTAATATTAAGCCACGATATGTGAAAAAAAGTAATATCACAAATGCCGACCGAAGAGCATTAAGAAGAATACTCGTGAAAAATAGGCATTCCAATTATTTACAATTAAGTGCTTTGTGGAGTGACGCTGTTGGAAGGAGAATTTCGAGGTCCACAAGTCATTGAAGAGGCCCACAAACTGGGATCTGGCACTTGCAAGGTAAGTTTTCTTATAAAAAAAAGTGAAGTAAAAACCCTAAAGTTGCACAACTTGTTTATAGGCTAAAGAAAAGCCACTAGTAGCTCCACTGCAAAAGAAAAATTGGCTTAGATGGGCTAAAGAACATAGACAATGGACACCTTAACAATGGTGCGCAATACAATGGAGTGACGAGGCCCGATTCGAAGTTTGTGTTGGTGACAGTCGCAGTAGAGTTATTCGCAAAAAAAATGAAGCAATCCGTGTTGACTGTCTGAAGAGAAAAGTGAAATTTCCAGCATCCATTATGGTCTGGGGCAGTATGTCATCAAAAGGAGTAGGAAAACTTCATTTTATTGATAGAAATGTGGATACAAACAAATATCTGGCAATTATAGAAAAATCGCTTTTACCAGTGATGGAAGAATGTTTCAGCAAGATGGTGCCGCGTACCATACCTCAAAAAAGGCTATAAAATGGATGGAAGAAAATAATGTACCACTTTTGAAATGGGTTTATAGCAGTCCAGATCTGTCACCTATTGAAACTTTGTGGAGATGAAAAAGGTTCTACGACAACATCCTGCTCGTACAATCACCGAACTGAGACAAAAGCTTCAAGAAATATGGGATTGTTTTACACCAAATTTTTGCCAAAACTTGGTTAACACTATGCCCCAAAGAATTTCAGCCGTTATAAAAAATAAAGGTGATGTTACCCAATGGTAATCTTTCAATTGTTGCTTTCTTAACTTCACAAATCTTGAAGTGGGCCAACTGAAGTGGGAGGGGGCTCGTATTTGGCAGCCTTTCTACGATTTTTGGATAGATAAACTTAATATCCAACGACGATTACTAAAGTAACTACGTTTCAAGGAAAATGGCAGTTACATGCCAATTGGCTACCCTTAAAGAAATCTTAGAAGAAGCCTTTGACCGAAAAAGTCGCACTGAAGGGCATGAAAAGGTCTCCGTTAACTTTTCGCGTGATAGATTTCACAACTGTGTCGGTTGCTGCAATATATTCCATAAATTAAATTTTCTTGTCCACGTTTAATTACTAGACAACTTGATACTTTTTATTTGTCTACCCCTATAACAAACATCTTAAAGTTTCCATAAGGATGATCTTACTACACCTGCTGAGTCCATCAACAGAGCGAAATTGGCAACCAATTATTATCGTGATAGTATCAGAATACTATTAGGAGCCAAGTAAATTGACTATGAATATGGCGGTAACCCCATAAGACTGTGTTAATAATTGCAGATGGCGTTGAACAATAAACCTCTAAAAGCTAACATCATCACAGTCTTCAACCTGATGCTCCCAATCAGATTCGGGGTAAATGGAATGTAATAGCCCATGATTCAGATCTGCTGGATCGAGGAAATACAAACTCCCAGTACTTTACGCATCAGGTCACACTCTTGTCAATCACTTTGATCGAAATTGTGCTCTGCACCGGATCTCCTCGGTACATCCAACCATCAATTTAACCGGTCTTCCATACCTTGATTATTCTGTTATCTGTGCCTTTAACCCTTTGATAGAGAAACAACAGCCAGACAGCATTATCCAACTACACAACACGACGTCGCCCATGCTGACGCAATACGATACTGATGGAGACTCACACACCGGGCGGCACACGACAGTTTCACCAAGCTCATAGGGTTCATAAAGACCTTTCCTTAGCTAAGAATATACACAGCACGAATAGAAAGATAGAAAAACTTAATATAAGCTTGGGGCCACAGATTATCCTTCTCTTTGATAGGGTTGTCTAAAATTTCATGTTTATGGAGAATTGTGCGTACGAAATGTTCTGTGTTCATCAGGCTGTATCATGAATATGGCGGTAACCCCAGAAGACTGTCTTAATAATTAAACAATAAATCTCTAAAAGCTAACATCATCACAGTCTTCAACCTGATGCTCACAATCAGATAA